GAGAGAGAGAGAGAGAGAGAGAGAGAGAGAGAGAGAGAGAGAGAGAGGCAGAGACAGACAGACAGACAGACAGACAGACAGACAGAGAGACCAGAGGCATAATGGTGCACACCTTCAACCCCAGCCATTTGGTGGCAGGAGGAGGTGTAACTCTGAGTTCAAGGACAGCCTTTCTACATGGAGAGTCCAGGTGAGTCCGGACTACATAATGAGACTGTCTCCAGGCTGGAAGGTTGGGGGGGGGGGGTTTGTGGGCAGGGAGAAAGAGAAAAAAAAAAAAAGAATAAAAAGTAACAGGATACCAATTTATTTCTTATATCCCAATGCACATATGCAAAAACTAAAACCAAGACAAGCTCTTTTCTTTCTGAAAATACTGACAAAACATTGTTCAAATTTGGTGTTTATATTCACTACAAATAAACTGATTTTCACATAATTGATTTTACCTGGGCAGATACTCACGTTTAGTGAAGGGAATGCCTGTGAGTCACTGCTGCAATCTAAGTTCTCACTTTTTGTTGTCCAACAGTCAATGTTTTTGAAGTAAGCACAGATGTCTGTATCAGCATGAAGTTCATGTTTTTGGTACAGCTCCTACCCAAGGTAAAATTCTAAGTTATAATTTACAGTGGCTCCCACAAGCCTGATTTAAACCTTACTAACATTTTTTTAAAGATCCCTCACATGGAGATTACAAAATTTATGGCTTTGTCAAGAAGCACACACTTTCATTTATTGTCTTAAGTCCTAAAATCAATTTAGAGCATTTCTAAAATCATAAGCTCCACTTCTGGTCTACTCACTTGGTGCTATTAAGTCTTTGCATTGACAATTTTCCTTCCCAGCTTTGTACACACTGAAGACTTGTTTCCACTTACCTCCTCCAGATCAGGGTATTCATTGTGACAGGTATGATACTTCAAATGCCACTCTATGGTAAACTTCACAGGTCCAGAACAACTGAACGACTTCACTGACCAGACAGAGAGTTTTATTGTACATTAATTACAGTCTAGAATAAACTTGAGGCTTCAAGAATGTTGTTTGAAACTGGCTGTTTTAATAGTAACATGAGCAAAACATTACCTAATTTCTCTAAATCACTGCAAATGAGATAGATAAATTCATTACATTTTAACAGCTATCCAGAACTTGCTACAATACTATTCAATATAAGTTCAATGTTAGAATCAACTAAGCATCCTAGTGTGTTAAGTTGCAGCTTCCTTTGCTCACTTACTCATCCAAAACACGCTGAATGACGGACTCTTCTGCTGTGCCCCATGAAAGAACACAGTAGCTAACAAGACAATTCCTCAAAAACAAAACAAAACAAAACAAAACAAAACAAAACTCCTCTTTATAAACTAAATTGTTGTAGGGAGTTCACAACTGGGTGCTTTTAGAAGTCTAAAAGAACAGGGTGTCAAGGGGCACTGGGCACCTGACATGATCTAGGACTAAGGCATGTTATCTGAAAAAAAGCAGTAGCTAGTCAAGGGGCAGAGAAGCCAGAGTATCTTTTTATAACACAGTCTCAGATGTTTAAGAACAACTCTGTAGAACCCGTGGTGGATGATGAGTACCAGAAGTCAAGGATCACTGATTTTAAAGGATGGTAATACAAACCAAGTCCACAGATAAGGCTGACAAAATTTTAGGAAAAAAAAAAATCGATTTTTGCAAATAACTAAGTCTTAAATAAAATAAACTTCTAAAATGTTAGAACCAGTCTTAAAAGAAAAACATTCCCCAGCACTTGGGAGGCAGAGACAGGCGGATTTCTGAGTTCCAGGCCAGCCTGGTCTACAGAGTGAGTTCCAGGACAGCCAGGGCTATACAGAGAAACCCTGTCTCGAAGAAAAAAGAAAAAGAAAAAGATTCACTTTAATGTATCTTACATTTGTTTAAATTAATATATTTATAATATATAAGAATTGAATATTAATATACTTACCAGAAAACTTGATCTCAGTAGAGTTAAACATAGTTTTCCTAAATATCAAAGGTCCTGATTTCTAAAGGGAAAAACAAATATAGAAAAATTTTAGTTAAAACTTTCTTTATATTTTAAACATAGTTTTATCTTCTAAATACAGCACTCTAGTCCTTATGAGACTATCTGAAAAGCCCCATATTTAGTCTTTGAGTCAAGACATTTTAAAACATAAAACTGGGGCTAGATGGCTGGGTGGTTAAGAACGCCTACTGCTCTGTAGAGAGCCTGAGTCCAGTTCCCAGTACCCATAGCATGTAACTCCAGCTCCTGGGAAGATGATGCCTACTTCTGACCTCTACAAGTACCTGCATTCACTTACACACTCTTCCCTACCCCTATACAGAGATTAAAAACAAAAACTTTAAACTATATACTGATCACATCTCTGGCTTAAAATCGTCCCGCTGTGTCTATTCCCTAATTGATGTAAGGATCAGAAGTCGTGGCCCTGCTTTTAAGGATCATGACTTCAAGGCCAGCCTGGGTCACACAGTGAACTCTGTCCGGAATAAAGTCTAGTTGGGGCTTGGGGATACAGGACAGAAGGGCTCTGGCCATCATGGTTAGTGCTGCTCGGCCACACACGAACTGCACATTTACATGCTGTTCTCTTGGTATCAAAGTAAAAGTAATTTCAATAAATAACATCTCTCCCCAGAATGATTTTGTTTATCACTGTAATGTATTGTCCCTGATACTGTGTGAGCTCCTTGAGAGAAGGAATTGTATCTAAAATTCATCTTTGCTAGAGGAATGACCAATCTAGTAAATGGCATATGGTGATGCTCAAACTATTTGCTAATTTTTATAGGTAAAATAACCTCTTTTTTTCTTTTTGATGAATTCATAAAATAAATGAAAGTCTTAGCGGTCCAAAATCCTAGAAACCCCACACAGTCAACGCCTACTCACCTTCCCCAGCAATGTTTCACTTCTGGAAAACTCCTGCTGCTAGGATCTGAAGTCTAGTGTCGGAGGGCTATGGTGACCTTAGTCTCCCATTTTCCAGAACTTCATTCAACAAACACACCAAGATTTTCCTACACTGCGACTGTCTCACTCCTTACAAAGAAATACCTATTCATTTTTTCAGACTACACAAATCAGAGTTAGGCCGGCTCCATTAGTACTTAAATACTAACATTCCAAGCATGCTGTGTGGTATACACAAGTATCTACTCATAATGTATTGTCCCTGATACTGTGTGAGCTCCTTGAGAGAAGGAATTGTGTCTAAAATTCTTCTTTGCTAGAGGAATGACCAATCTAGTAAATGGCATATGGTGATGCTCAAACTATTTGCTAATTTTTATAGGTAAAATAATCTCTTTTTTCTTTTTGATGAATTCATAAAATAAATGAAAGTCTTATTCTCCATGTTCTAAAAGAGAAATTCTGACAACTTTTCTAAATAAATAAATAAATAAATAAATAATCAGTCTGCTTTTTGCAAAGGCTCGATACTACTAGCCTGAGCTACACAGGAAATAACCTCAGCCTGACCAAAGCACACTACAGTCAAAAAACACACTTCTCTGCTTGTCAAAAGAACCTGCCATTCTTCTCAGTGGGATTCTTACTATGCAAAGTATGCTTGACAAAAATCTTTCATACATGCAGAGTAACCGTGTTCATGTAGCTGATTCACTTGCAATGTTCTTATTTTGAGTTTGGAAACTGGCTTAATTGTATTCACTACAGAAGCAGCAGGAAACCACAAACTGTGCTTCAACAAACATTGTGTTTTATTGATGAGAAATCCAGCAATAGAGATGGGCAGGCCCTATTGTGGTTACATATACACGATAAATCTCATTCTCTCTGTTCTAAAAGATAAATTTCTGACAACTTAATATAAGAAAAAATATCACTCTGTTTTTTGCAAAGAAAGGCTCGCTGACAATACCAGCCTGAGCTACACAAGAAATAAACTCAGCCTGAACAAAGCATATGAGAGTCAAAAAATACAGGGCAACTATTGAAAAGAATCTTAAAAAGAAATGGACACACTGCGCCAGGACACAGAAAGAAGCCTACATTTGATCCTCTGCAGTTTTGTGTTTAGAAGTATGTGAACCTCTTGATACCACTTTTGGTTGAAGGAATACAACTACAAATGTCATCTTTAGAACTCGGACATTGTTTCAACACACTCCAAGCAGATCTGGGTGAGTCATCTAACTCTAGGGATACTTAGGACAACGCTGCTTCCCGATATCCTGTCTCTTTTGCAAGACTTTCCATAATTTGGTCTCTGCATTCTTTTAGCATCATCTCTTAACCATACAGGACATCAAGTTCTCTAAAAGCCTGCCCAGTTAAGGAAGTTTTCATCCACCCCTGCCTCCAGACTCGGCTCTTTAAACACTCCTAAACAAACACCCCGCCCCACATACACACGCAGAAGTCCTGAAATAAGAGCGCTAGGAAATATACAGAAACCCAAGAAAAAGAAAGGCAAGGTGACTATATGCATGACAGTAGAGCATATTCAATTATGCTCTAACAGAAAGGCTAGACAAACCTTGTGGCCTTGAAGATGTGGCCCCTGTAGCAGTAACCTAGCCGAAGTGTTCAGTCCCAACGATGCCACTGAGAATGCAGAGATTGGGGCCTCTGAACTGAATAAATAAAAGCAAGATCTAGACACACCGTGTCAGGACACTGTGAGAGGGGGCTGGAGAGCCTCACGAACAGCAAGAATGTTCGGAAAGAGAAGCCGTCCTAAGCACACACTGGGACTGCTCTTCCCTGAAGCCTACGTTAGGCAGAAGAGAGGACGCTCCTTTCCCAGAGCCCAATCTAGACAAAAGGCTCAAGAAGCGTGACAGAGGACCCACTGCTGGTCCGACATAGCCGTAGTGAATATGCCCAAGGCCAGGACTCGCGGGCAGAGCTATCCTGCCAGGGCCCTGAGAGCCTGAGAAGCGCCACGCCTCAGTCCCTACAGAGCACTTACGTCATTGACCGTTCTCGTCCAAAGCCCGAGCTCAGGGACTGCGTCCACAGCCGCCGGGACCCAGCACAGGAGACACAGGGCAACGCGCAGCAGCTGGGCCCCGGCGGGTAGGCGGCAGAGGAGGCTGGGAAGGAGGCAAGCCGCAGACCGACAGGCGGCAGCCATCTTGACACGGAAGCTGCACCTGCGCTCCCGGAACCCGGCCACGCCCCGGGGCCGCACCTGGCGTAGCTCCGCCCTGAAGGGGGCAGGCCCACGAGGGGAACCGGAGCTCGGGCAGGGGTACGGAGTGGGGTCTTGGGCTGAAGCGGATAGGCGCTGTTAGAGGAAGTGGGCTCGAACCTGGAGGTGGGTTTCAGGGCCAGGCCTGGAAGGAATCGAGGAAGTGCGGAGGGGAGGGATGAGAGTCCGGAAAAACCACGCAAGCCCATGGAGGAGGCGGGGCCAGAGGAGGCGGGGCTGGGGAGGTGAGGCGGGGGCGGGGTGGAGGCGGGGTCAAAACATTTATTAGGGAGGGGCTACGGACGCGGGGCGTGGTAGAGAGGCGGGGCCCTCCCGGGAGGAGGGAAGGCAGAACCGAAGTGTGGAGGCGGGACTGCAACAAGATTGAAAGGGCCGGACCTGGGCGGAACTAGAAGCCGCTTTGAAGGGAAGGTTGAGTGTAGGAAGATGGAGGCAAGGAAAGGGACCGGGAGAGGAGGGGGAGGAAAAAGAGGCAGAGCCTTAAGGGAAATTGGAAAGTAAAGACCTGGCTGCAACGCTGTTGAAAGGTCAGCGTTCAGAGCAGGGCCCCGAGGATAATGGGCACTCTAATTACAAGTTTGCAGAAATGAAGATCCTAGTACTTGGGAGGTGAAGGTAGGAGGATCGTGGGAATTCAAAGACAGCCTAAGATATATAGCAAGCGTGAGGCCAGCGTGAGCTGCACAAGGCTTGTCTAAAACCAAAATATTTGTCAACTAACCATCTAAACGCTCTCTAAAGGGGGAAACGTTGTTTCGAGAGCAATAGTCAAGTGTCACCAGTAGGTGGCACTAGTAAATTGATGTTTTATATGAATTTGAATCTTTCCTGAAGGTATTTTTTAGGGCCGATTAGATTCAGTAGGAGTTGCTGTTTATACCTCTAATTTACTTATTTTTTAAATAATTAACTATTTTTCAAGCACATTTAAGTTTACAGTAAAATCGAGAGAAATGGATCTACCCCGGTCACCTCAAAAACCTTCCCCTGCTAGCAACATTCCACACTACAAGGAGTGCCTTTAATAGAGACCATTAAACCAGTAATCAACTTAGAACGGTATCTTACTGCTCATTAAGTATCTCACAGAAGTATCGATTTCCAAGTAATAGTCTAAACAGGGATTTTACCTTATTGAAGAGCAAATGGAGTATTGAGATGGTCCTGAGGTTAAAGGCACAGCCTGACTATCTGAATTCTATTCCTGGGACTCACGTGGTCCCAGGAACAGACTCTGGAATGTTGTTCTTCAACCCCCAAATACTTCCCACCCAATACATAAATAAAATGTAATTAAAATTTTTAAAGAGTAATTACTTTTGTTAATGTAATTAACAAAATGTTTCTTATTCTAGGGTAATTTCATTCCAAAGGAAGAGTGGTACTAACTTTGTTTCCTTGAGTTAGTTAGGCTGTATTTGTTATCTCCTCCTTTCACAGCACTCTGCCTGAGTAAGATCAATAAAACCTAACACAGCACAGAGCCATTAGCAGGGATATACCCTAGCCCTGATTCAATCCCCAGCACTACAGAAAGCTAGTCAAACAGGGGAAACTGGTCACATCCTGGGGTGTAGACATAAAAGAGTCTGGAGACATGGCTCAGTGGTAAGAGCACTGGCTGCTCTTACAGAGGACCTGGGTCCCATTTCCAGTACCCATATGGCAACTCACAACCTTCTTCAGTTCCAGTTCCAGGGCATTTGCTGCCCTCTTCTGACCTCCCTGGGCACCAGGCACCTATGTGGTCCACAAACATACATACAGGCCAAATACTCATACACGTAAACAAATCTAAAATATATATTTAATTTAAAAAGCCTATAGCCTTTAAAAAAATCGTTACATTTTAGAGATTTCTTTAATTTAGATGCTTCTAGAAGCAGTCTCTGGAATAAGACTCTGGTTCATCAGGAAAGGATCATAAATTAGCATTCTGGGGCAGATACTACACCCCTGAAATTCATATGTTAAGATTCTAATCTCCAGTTCATCAAATGTGACTAGAGAAAGAGATAGAAAGAGACAAGGTCTTCAGGGTGGGCCCTTATCCAGTACGATTGGTATCCCTATCCCAGGAGGAGCCTCAGACACACTCGTAGCCTGAGGAGGACATTGTAGACCAGAGGAGCTGCAGCAAGCCCGACAAGCCCTCGTTAGAGGCAGTCAGAAGAATCTAACAGTGTCAACAACTTAATCCTGGACTTTCTGACCCTACAACCGTGAGGAGCTCATTGCTGCTGTCTAAGCCGCCCAGCCTTCTGGTGCTTTGTTTTGTCAACCTTAACAAGTCAATCCAGACAGTGAGTAAACGTGACAGTGAATGGAATGTGGACAATAAAGACAACATAATTATCCAGTCAGCCACCACAGTGGCAAGTGGCATGTAATCTTGGAGAGACTTTGGAAAAGTGTGTGAGCAATGTCCCAAAGTCACCCCACCAGGAAGCTAGAGTGTAGGTACAGATGGTTCCCAGCTTATGGTAGTTAGACTCTTGCTTTTTCAGCTTTATGGTATTGCAAAAGTAGCACACACCCAGTACAGACCGTTCTTAATTTTGATCTTGCAGTGGCTGGAGATGTGTGATGTGGTGCTTTCTGGTAACCCTGGGCAGCCTGAAGTCATCAAGCAAAGAGGAAGCTCTGCAGTGTCCTGTGATACCAAGCTGACAGCTTTGACAGCTGATGTGCCAAAATGCTGTTTTCTCCTTTATTGAGACAGGGACTCACTGTATACTCCAGTCCTTGAACTTACAACCCTCCTGTTTCCACCTCCTACATGCTAAAATCACATGACTATATCATTATACCTCCCCCTCCCCCGCTTTATAGTGGAAACCATTTTATTTACTGGCATAGAATAAAAGGAAAAAGATTGCCATTGCATTCACCCTGTCACCCACTGTTGTCTCCCTTCCTTTCCCTCTAAACTTCATTTTCTTCCCAATTAGTTCTCTCAGATTGGGCCCTTCAACATCCATCATGGATAGAGGAGATGCATATGATGCCCTAGCCCTTCCTGAGGAGTTGTGGACTGTTAGTGCCCCCCTCCTTCCCCCCACACTTCTTTCCCCCCCTCTTCCTCCCTCCCTCCCTCCCTTCCTCCCTCCCTCCCTCCCTCC